GCAGAATATAGCGATGGTCCGCAGCAGTCTGGTGGAACTAAAGGTGAGGGGAGGAGCTAATGTAGGTGGATTACAGGTGAAGGGAGATAGCAGATTCTTTCACTCTGTCTTTCTTTCTGTTTTTCATTCACAGAATAAGTTTAATGAAAACCATCAACTCCTGCAGAGAGGTGAAGAGTTGGACCGCTTGCCTTCAGTCCCGCTCCCGTTGCTTCCACCAGTGCCTACAGTGAGTGTCAGTTTATTCATATATGGCCTAGGGTTGGAGGTACACTACTGTTCAAATCCTTTTTTGTTTTTGAAAGAAGTCCCTAATTTTCACCAAGCATTTATTGAATCAAAAATACAGTTTAAAACAGTAATTTTGTAAAATATTATTACAGTTGTAAATAACTGTTTTCTAATTGAAAATATTTTTAATGTGATTTCCACGTGATGGCAAAGCTGAATTTTCAGAAATCCTACTGAAATCTTTTAATTGAAGTTTACTGCATTGTAAAAAAAAAAACAGTTGTACTGCTTAATATTTTTGTGGAAACCATGATACAATTTTTTCAGGATTCCTTGAGGGGTGGGGGGGGGACTGCATTTGTGAACAGCATTTATTTGAAATAGAAATTGTTTGTTACATTATTAATCTCTTTACTGTCACTTTTGATCAAATTAATGTGTCCTTGCTGAACAGAAGTATTCATTTCTTTAAAAAAAAAACTTACTTAAAGGGGTCCTATTATGCTTTTTCAACTTTAGTTAGTCTGTAATGTTGCTGTTTGAGCATAAAAAAGATCTGCAAAGTTACAAAGCTCAAAGTCCACTTCAAAAGGAGATATTTTATTTAACAGAAATCACTTTTCAAAAACTACAACGAACGACTCGTTTGGACTACAACGCATATTTTCCGGGATTTGTGATATCAAAGGACGAGACCTGGTTGAGCTGCACTAAAGAAGGCAATGAGTGTTATCACTATGTCGGAGACACGCTAGCTTTCCCAAGGCAGACGAACTTAAAGTGGTTACAATCATCCGGGTTTAAAGGGGTCATATGATGCTTTTTTAAAGATCATTATTTTGTGTATTTGGTGAAAACAATAAAGAGCCCTCCTCCTTGCAGCAATTCTTTAGAAGCTCTTTGTATACCTCACCTATTTAAAGGGGTCCTATTTTGCTATTATGCTTTTTCAACTTTAGTTAGTCTGTAATGTTGCTGTTTGAGCATAAAAAAGATTTACAAAGTTCAGTCCACTTCAAAAGGAGATATTTTATTTAACAGAAATCACTTTTCAAAAACTACAACGAACGACTCGTTTGGACTACAACGCATATTTTCCGGGATTTGTGATATCACAAATATCGACGAATGGGATGAGACCTGGTTGAGCTGCACTAGAGAAAGCAACGAGTGTTGTCACTATGTCGGAGACACGCTAGCTTTCTCAAGGCAGACGAACTTAGAGTGGTTACAATCATCCGGGTTTAAATCGCGCTCAAATTGATTTGATTTTGACGCAATATTTACACTGAAGCTCGCAGATGGCTATGGTAAGGGGCGTGACATTTCCCGACCAGGCGCCGAGTGCTGCCAATCACAGCACACACTGGCCCAGCTAACCAATCACAGCACATTTCGTCTTTCAGCAGGCGGGCCTTCATTTGATACAGGAACTATTGGAGCCGTTCATGCCAGACTGGAGAGAGAGGTGTTGTAATAATGTAAAATATGTGAAAAATAATGTGTTTTTCGAACAACCTAGCATGAGAGCCTGTTCTAGTACACCCCCAAAACAAAATCAAGACTTTGTAAAAGAGCATAATAGGACCCCTTTAACCCACAGCACACTTTTGAACAATACTGTATGACTGCGTATGCAGTGCTATTGTAAAATTAATAATCTGGTAAAGAGTTAGTAAACTGGCTGTTTTTCCATGGTTTGAAACATGGCCTATCTAGACATATTTATGTTTTGTGAATATGTGACTCTAGTGATATAATTAGGTCTTTCATTTTATAATTATTTTGCATTGTTCAAGTTTAGACTAATGTTAGTAATGTATATTTTGTGTGTGTCATTTATTTTTGATCTTCCAAAGTTGGAGATGATAATGAGTCCACTTCAGAATCCTGCATCCCATCCTGTTTTCAATAGTGGTCCGCCGACTTCCACAACTTCTCCTCCCATAGTTCACCCACAACTCCACTCCTCGATCACACCACCCCAAAGAGCCACACCACCACTTTCTGCCCCATCTCCTCAAAACACACCATACCTACCCATCACTATAGGTCCACAGTCCGCACACATCCCAAACATTTATGTTCCCTTGACAACTCACGCACCTGCCCCTCAAATACCCATGCAAACCATCTGCCTGCCTCAAACCTCATCCCATGCACCTGTCATGCCAGCCCCACAGATCCTACCACAGACACACGCAGGTGTTCCAAGTGTCTCCCATGCACCGTCCACTGCCTCAGCAGGCACCTTTGTTGTATTACCAAATAATCACGGAGCCAGTTTTCAACCCCAAGCTGCAGTGCGCCTTCCCCAAACATTCATGCCATCCACGGTTACACGTAACTCCTCCCCCCAGCCCCTCCCCTCCAATCCTGCGCCAGCAGGAAAACTGGACAAGCTGCTGGAGAGACTGGGCTCACATTTCCCACAATGCACAAGGTACTGAGCTCACAGAGTTATTTGATAAGCTTCTTTCCTTCCTAGTAAATTTTTAGGAGCCCATATAATTTTAGTAGATTTTTTTGTCTTCCTTAGACACAGTTTGTTGATTGCTGTTTGAAATTGTTTCTGTCTGCATTAGAGATCAGTTGACACGTGTTCTACAGCAAATTAAGAGTGAGCGCGGTACTATGGCTGGCATGTCGATTGATGATCTTACTCAGCAGGTTGCACAGAGACTTGCGCAGAACCAAAAACCGGTGCGACCAAACACTTCTTATCTCACTCCTCAGCATTGTGTTTTTATTGTTACTTTCGTTCTGTGCATTGGTCATATCATTTTTAACTTTATCACTGTTGTAGCCACCAGGTCCTATAGCACCTCCATCTGGAGCAAGAGCCTTTCCTGTTTCGGTTGGTCCGATTCAGCGTCCTGTAGCCCAGCCGCCGCATCCCATGCTGCATCATTTCCGTCCCCCAGTTGCTCAGGTCTTCCACACAAGACCCCCACAGGTAGCATTCAACTTTAAACCCCTTTTCTTCAATCACATTTAACAAAATACTCTGAACTATAGTGGAGTGTGGGAGATGTGCCACTTTTTTACTGAAGTTGTCCTCTTGGTAAGGAGAAATGAGACGGAGGTAAAACTAATATGTGACCCTGGACCACAAATCCAGTCATAAGGGTCAATTTTTTGAAATTGAGATTTATACATCGTCTAAATGCTGAATAAATAAGCTTTCCATTGATGTATGGTTTGTTAGGATAGGACAATATTTGGCCGAGACACAACTATTTGAAAATCTGGAATCTGAGGGAGCAAAAAAATCTAAACATTGAGAAAATCGCTTTTAAAGTTGTCCAAAAAATCAATAATTTTGACCCATTCAATGTATTTTTGGCTAATGCTACAAATATACCCCAGCGACTTAAGACTGGTTTTGTGCTCCAGGGTCACATATGCCTAATTCAGGATGTATACGATTAGCTTAAATAAGATAAAAAAATAAAAATAAAGTTAACAAATGACCCCACATTAGAGTATATTAAATTTTGGGGAACATTGAAACATAAAAATTAACAAATTGAGATAAATATTATTGCTGTTTTATAATCTCGTTTCAAAAACCTACTATTTTTACAGTACAGTTTACTGCATATTATTTCCTAAAGTATATCTATCAACCAACCAGGAAGACCAGTATTCAGATTATTTGAATGTATTTGAATACTTCTAAATATTTTGGTCATGCGTTTTTTTTTTTTCTTCTTTTAAACCAAATAAACACACACTCTTTTTCTCTGTCTCTCTCAGTCCTCTACCCGGAAATTTTGTTTGATGTGTCAGAATTCTGTGGATGCTGGAAGCCAGTACAACACCAACTGCTCCCATACCATGCACAAAGAAGTGAGTGTGTAACATTTATAAAATACATTTAAGGCACAATATTTGCCTTGTCTGTGTGTTCTAATAATGGTTATTTTCTCTCCTTTTCTTTAGTGTGTTAGCGTTTGGCTCAAGACTAGCAAGAATAACTCCTGTCCTTTCTGCCCATCCAAATGAGGTCTGACTTCAGGAGAGAACACACTCATAGCTGAGCCAATACATGCAAAAACGAAAGTAGAATGATCATATAAATAGTTATCAAGACACTTGTGAATTAAGTTTTTGTAATTCTATGGTAACTCTGGTTAATGTAAAAAATATATTGTTCCATTCCTGGTCAGAGTAAATTATTATGATAAGGACAATATATTGTTATAATAATTGATGTTACTTTGCAGATCAGTGGAAATCCTCACAATATGATTTGTACTTTTTTCAGTATTCAGTGTTATTCCAAAGATTCTCAAACATGCCCTGAAGTATAATCCTCATTGTGTATGCTTTTATAAAAGTCATGTAGCATACATACAAATTCCAAAACAAAATAAAATATTTCTTTTAAAACTTTTCCAAGTGATACAAAACTGTACCTAACTGGAAAATGTTGCAGTTATATTCATTGTATCTGTATTTTATTAAATTAAGGATCAACAAAGGCCTTTATGTGGAGAGCTTTATACATTAAAGAGGAAAAATAAGAGGTCTTTGTTTTGTAATCACTGATAGTCACTCTTTTATAAGATTTAATAAGATTTTAAATAAATGATAATGTTGTTAAGAAAACTATTGTGACATACCATCTTGTTTCTGAATGGAAGAAAACATTGACACAAATTTTTTATTTTTTTTTGCATTTTATTTGTTTGCATTTTTTTTTTTTTTTTTGCATTATTACATCAAAAATTTATTTAACTTGAACATAATAAACATTCATAACACAACCGTTGCATCTACACTCCTATCACCAAACACAAGAATATCTGTTTTTTGCTGTTTGAGGATCTGGGTGTGCAAAGTCCTTGTGCGTTTTTATGCCTGGATGGCCTTGGAAATGGTTTCATACACCTGTGCAAACCTGGCCCTCACATTCTTCATGTAGGGCTCCATGCGCGCCTGGAGGTCCTGGGTGTGTGGGGCGAGCTTCTCTCTGGCCTCCTCGACAGCCTTCACCAGCTGTTCCTTGTATTCCTCAGCATAGGGGGCGGCCATGGTCCTCAGCTCCTCCAGTCGCTCAGTCAGCTTAGTGCGTATGGCCTCGACCATCGGCACAAGCTTAGACTTGGTCTCCTCAACGTTGGTCTCGACTTTCTGCCTCATCTCATCCAACAGGGGCTGCAGCTTGGTACGCAGCTTCTCAGCATTTTCACGGTTCAGGTTGGCATACTCCTGGAAGACGGGCTCCAGCTTTTCACGGTACTCGTCAAAGTGCTTCTGCAAGACCTCGTACAGCTCAGCGCGGTGGGGCTCCAGCTTGGAACGGAGGTCCTCGACGTCAGTCATGACACGCTCACGCAGCTGCTTGGTGTTCTCCAGGAACTGGTTGGAGATGGTCTCAGCGTAGGGGGTCAGAGTCTGGGAGGTGGACTGGGCATATTCTTGGAGCTTAGTCAGGCTCTCTGAAAGTTGTACCCTTGAAGAGAAAAGACCATCATATTAGGAAACACAAACCATTACAGGTGAAAGTCTGGAATCATAAATCACACTGCTTGTTCATTAGGGCCAGAAGAGATCTGGCCACCCAACTGAGGCTGGTTTCTCCCAAGAGTTTTTTTTTTTTTTTTTTCCTTCTCTCCATTATTATCAAATTGAGTTTTGGTTCATTGGTTCCTTGCTGTTGCCTTTGGTTTGCTCAGTTGCTTAATATTAATTATTAACTGCACTGCCAATATGGGATGATAACAAAATTGAAATGAATTGAGCTGGATAATAACACTACATTTACAGCGTCAACATTTTTAAACTGAATTGAATCAACAATACACTGCCTTGAGCTGAATAATGACACTATTGCCTTCTATAGAGCTGCTTATGGCTGAATTAAACTTGTTTCATAATTTGCAGCATTGACAGTTATCGAACTGAATTGAAACAACACTGAACTAAATTTAGATGAAAAGATTTAATTTTTAAATAAATGATAATGTTGTTAAGAAAACTATTGTGACATACCATCTTGTTTCTGAATGGAAGAAAACATTGACACAAATTTTTTTTTTTTTTTTGCATTTTATTTGTTTGCATTTTTTTATTTTTTTTTTGCATTATTACATCAAAAATTATTTAACTTGAACATAATAAACATTCATAACACAACCGTTGCATCTACACTCCTATCACCAAACACAAGAATATCTGTTTTTTGCTGTTTGAGGATCTGGGTGTGCAAAGTCCTTGTGCGTTTTTATGCCTGGATGGCCTTGGAAATGGTTTCATACACCTGTGCAAACCTGGCCCTCACATTCTTCATGTAGGGCTCCATGCGCGCCTGGAGGTCCTGGGTGTGTGGGGCGAGCTTCTCTCTGGCCTCCTCGACAGCCTTCACCAGCTGTTCCTTGTATTCCTCAGCATAGGGGGCGGCCATGGTCCTCAGCTCCTCCAGTCGCTCAGTCAGCTTAGTGCGTATGGCCTCGACCATCGGCACAAGCTTAGACTTGGTCTCCTCAACGTTGGTCTCGACTTTCTGCCTCATCTCATCCAACAGGGGCTGCAGCTTGGTACGCAGCTTCTCAGCATTTTCACGGTTCAGGTTGGCATACTCCTGGAAGACGGGCTCCAGCTTTTCACGGTACTCGTCAAAGTGCTTCTGCAAGACCTCGTACAGCTCAGCGCGGTGGGGCTCCAGCTTGGAACGGAGGTCCTCGACGTCAGTCATGACACGCTCACGCAGCTGCTTGGTGTTCTCCAGGAACTGGTTGGAGATGGTCTCAGCGTAGGGGGTCAGAGTCTGGGAGGTGGACTGGGCATATTCTTGGAGCTTAGTCAGGCTCTCTGAAAGTTGTACCCTTGAAGAGAAAAGACCATCATATTAGGAAACACAAACCATTACAGGTGAAAGTCTGGAATCATAAATCACACTGCTTGTTCATTAGGGCCAGAAGAGATCTGGCCACCCAACTGAGGCTGGTTTCTCCCAAGAGTTTTTTTTTTTTTTTTTTCCTTCTCTCCATTATTATCAAATTGAGTTTTGGTTCATTGGTTCCTTGCTGTTGCCTTTGGTTTGCTCAGTTGCTTAATATTAATTATTAACTGCACTGCCAATATGGGATGATAACAAAATTGAAATGAATTGAGCTGGATAATAACACTACATTTACAGCGTCAACATTTTTAAACTGAATTGAATCAACAATACACTGCCTTGAGCTGAATAATGACACTATTGCCTTCTATAGAGCTGCTTATGGCTGAATTAAACTTGTTTCATAATTTGCAGCATTGACAGTTATCGAACTGAATTGAAACAACACTGAACTAAATTTAGATGAATAACAATGCCATTGTCTTCTGTAGATCTCCTTTAAAGCTGACGTTAAATTTGTTTCATGATTGATGCATTTATAACATTAACGCTGAAATTGAACATTAAAACATTAATGGCTAGAAATTGTAAAAAAAAAAAAAAACATTCAAATAATAGTATGTGAGACAGTTGCAATATCATTATGTTCCTATTGGTCAGTAGAGGAGCTTAACTTAGCCTGATAGTTAGTCTGCTTTAGACCAGGTTAATTTCCCAGCATAAGTTGCCACAGTGACTAAAATTAATCTAGGCCTATGCTAAATTTGCTTTATGGAACCAAATAATTTGACAATGAGTCAGACTAACTGAAATAAGCCTGGCTTATTAAATCTGGTATTTTCCTTTATATTAATGTGTAATCTGTATTGTATAAATATCTGAGACTTGACTTGAAATGATGAGACGCTGAAGTGTGACATGATACTCTATTTTGAGAATGATTGAACAATCGATTTGGGAGAAGTAAAAAAACAAACAGAAGATTAAGACAAAAATGCAAAGAGTGAGAGACATGAAAAGGTAGAGGTCTTTATGATAATATGTGGCTCTTACTTGTATTGCTCATATTCGGTTCCGTCCAAGTTGTCGAGGGCCTTCTGAGCCTGCTCCTTGACCTGGGTCAGGTACACCAAGGCTGCTGCCTTGTAGTGCTCCAGCTGGGAGGGAGCATCAGCTTGCAGGAAACGGGCCTGGGAACCTGAGAAGACAAACAGGAAAAGCTTCAGAAAGCAAAAGGCCTCAGGGAGCACAGTGAAGTCTACCTTAAGACCTTTAAACTATGTCAAGAAACATAGGTGGTCAAATAGTCACCATGGGGAAAAAAACAAAGCATTAACAAAGTCATTAGTTTTTAATTGGATAAACATTAAGTAAATTTAAATTACTAAAGAAAAATCAGTACTTACCCACAGCCAAAAGGATGGTCAGTGCAAGAGCCACGAATTTCATGGTTAAGCTCTGAAACAGAAAACATTTATTATAACACTGTTTGATCAAGATTTACTTTGATATTCCCTTGATCCATTCCTCCTCTCCTGCTGGTTTGAGCTCTTACCTGAGTTGTACTGCTCTGAATGTTCGAGGACGGACAGCAGAGGCAAAGGTCTTATATAGGGGCAGGAACAGTGCATGTGGAGTTGGAACCCTGTCCTCTTACACATCAGAGGTTCAAAGGTTACGTGCAATCAGAGATGCCATTTAGATATCTGCAGATACGTCAATGCACATTCTCTGTCAGTCTCACAAAACACAAATTATTTGTAAATATTCAATGATATTTCTGTCAGATAAAGTGGATAAAAAATATTTTAACAGGCATTTCTGAAGTAATTTTTTTTTCAGATATTACTGTAATCTACATTTGTTAAATCTCTGTGAATCAAATGCAACAGCATAGCAATTTTGTGAGACGTTTCACTGCATCTAAGCAATGATTCCTGGGACAAATATTTATTTAGTGAATCAGCATTCCCTGATACAATCCAGCATTAGAAGCAGGAAACTCTAAATTCTTAAATGTAAATCTAAGTGCTGAAATTCATCAATTAAAGAAAGATAAAGCAACCTTTTTAATTTTATTATGGTGCTCTGTAGGTTGCATTTATTGGTTTGTGATTAAGCAGTTTGTTATTGAATACAATGCATCCATGTGATTACATCTCACTGTCATAAACTGGTAGAGTAATGGCAAAGCTATGACAAGACTGTGAAGTTATCTCAAAACATTTAGCAACGTGTAGCAAACCTTGATCTCCACCTATTCTCCACCAATTTTATCAACTGCCAACCAAACAAAGTCGTAACTAGTCAGAGGTCATTGATCAATTAGTTATCTATGTCCCATGATTTACTCAACTGTTCACATTCTCAAGCAAAAGTCAACTTGATTGGCTTATGCTGAGTGGCATTTTGACTGAAAACTGAGGACATCTCAGTTTAGTATTCATAAATTAATCACAATGCAGATTTATAGTTATTGAAATGCGAACAAGATTGTCCAATAAAACAGACCATAAGTACTGGGGGGTTAAGGTATGCAAGTATACATCTTTTTTATGCACTCTCTTTAAAGACAAATATTAACCTAATGTAGTATTGTATTATATAAGGTAATTTCTTGTACGTGGCAATAGACTTAAGCCCTATTTGCACGGGATTAGTATTATCTGGGGACCTTGTGTGATTTTGAAATTATCCCCAAACCAATGGCGCTGTCTCAAACTATACCTACCTCTTCCGGTTTGTCTGATTTGTCAGTGTATGGTAATATACAGAGGGCGAAGTTATCCAAGTGACAGTCTGTATCATAGGAACAGAGCTCCATTTGAGCTTGTGTCATCATCAGCACTAACTTATCACGGTCTCTCTATTCATGCAACCTGTATGAATCCCTGTCATATACGACCCCATAAAAATAGGCATATTGACGCACAGCATGTCATTGCCCCTGTAGTATTTGTGAACTGGTTTCCATTTTACATTTAAAGTATAAGATTTTGGGCAGTTTTAGTTCTTCTGATAGTTCATGATGACACTCGATAGTGATGATGATACTATTCATGTTTTCAAATCAGTATAAGATTCAGTTTATTCGCTTGTGATATCAACCCAACTAACAGAGAGAAAAAATCTTATTTTTGGGTAGAGAGGACCATTCATAAAAATGCTGTATGCCTACCCATGAATTATAGTGATGGTTTGTTCACCTATTTAGAGGTTTCCATGTTGGAGGCTTATTGCATTTCTTAATGAATGATTAAAAATCATGTACAGGTGCATCTCAATAAATTAGAATGTCGTGGAAAAGTTCATTTATTTCAGTAATTCAACTCAAATTGTGAAACTCGTGTATTAAATAAATTCAATGCACACAGACTGAAGTAGTTTAAGTCTTTGGTTCTTTTAATTGTGATGATTTTGGCTCACATTTAACAAAAACCAATAAAATAAAACCAATAAAAAAAACATTTTTAGTGAAATGTTGGCCTTCTGGAAAGTATGTTCATATACTGTACATGTACTCAGAACTTTTCCACAACATTCTAATTTATTGAGATGCACCTGTACATGATTCCGCAGTAGGTTATTTACACAGGTTGGTGTGTTATGTCTCCCTCTACAGGCTGAATGGGTTTTACTACTTTTGTATTTCCGGAGCAGATTCATAATCATGAATGATACAGAATTATATTTGC